GTGGTGGCTAACACTTGCCATTGGAAGGTCGGTCTATTTTAGAAATGGAAGAGGAGAGTCAGGTGCGGTGGCTCATACCTGTAATCCCAAAACTTTGAGGGGTGCCGAGACAGGAGGATTGCTTGAGCCCAGTAGTTCAATACCAGCCTGGGCAACATAGTGAGATCTCATCTCTAAAAAAAAAAAAAAAAAAATGGAAATGGAAGAGGAGAAACCAAGGTAGTCTTTTAAATGCTGACCTATGACAGGAATCAGCTCAAATTGTGTTTAGATTGTTAATAAATCCTCATTAATAATCAGGCACTAGGTTGAAAGTTGTATTTTAAAGAGTCACTTGTGTGGCATTGTGGCAAGAGAGTATCCCATAGCAACAAGTGTAATTTTGTTTGTCCCTCAGATTGCAAGCACTGCCTTTTCCTCTCTTAACTCCCCATTTTATCAGGAGAAGACTTTTAATGCCAACTGTATTGTTTTTGCTGATTTTAGATGGCTTATTTTTAAAGCCACTGGTACATTTTCTGTTTACGTCGTTATGGACTGTCACTATAGCCAATTAAAAATCCTCTTAACTATCATAGATTGTGTCAAAGGAGATTGCTATTATTCCTCTCCCAGGAAAGAAAAAATTTATGATCCATATCAATTTATTGCCTGTTTTCCCTAAAGAAGCAAAACATGATTATTAGTTAATTCAGTTAGACATTAACTCAGAAAACTCCAGAGATTTTAATTGATATATTATAGTGACCAAAAATACTGAAGTTTTAAAGATGACTGAAACCAGCTATTAGGAATGAGTTGGCATATTGCTTATACCATTACATAAAACAGCTAAAGCATTTTTAATTTCAGAGCTGTACCCACATCAGCCTCAGTGGTTTCAAATTTATTTTAAAGCCAGATTTAGATTTGGGCAATTCTGTCAGTCGTTTCAGGTGTTATGCCACTGTAAAATATTCTGCTTATCACTGGGTGTGGTGGTTCACGCCTGTAATCCCAGCGCTTTGGGAGGTCGAGGCAGGCGGATCACTTGAGGTGAGGAGTTCGAGACCAGCCTGGCCGACATGGCAAAACCCTGTCTCTACTAAAAAATACAAAAAATTAGCTAGGTGTGGTGGTGCGCCCCTGTACTCCCAGCTACTTAGGAGGCTGAGGCAGGAGAATTGCTTGAACCTGGGAGGCGGAGTGAGTCAGCTTACTTCCCTCCAGCCTGGACAACAGAGCGAGACTCCGTCTCAAAAAAAAAAAAAAAAAAAAGATTCTACTTATCTTATTCCCCCATAGTAATGTCTTGGTTGTGCTCCAGCTAGCTTAGGGGAAAAGGAATAATTAATTTTAAGGGCACTGAGGGTATCTCAGACAGCTCACAAATTGGTGGAACTGGGTACTAAAAGCCGTTAGGACTAAGGCAGCACCTGCCTTCTGCCCATCTCCCTCTGCCATGCTTCTCTGCATGGCAGCTGTGTGGGGGGTCTAGGAATCATAAGACACAAAATACAGTCACACTCATGACTGTAACTTACTACAGTGCAAGCACATGAGGGAAACTCAGTAAAGGGAAGAGGTGCATGGGGCGAGTCCTCGCCCATGGAGCCGCACAGGTTGCACTTCATCCCCCCATTCACAAATGAGTTGTGAAAACACCTGTGGAATGTTGTCAGCCAGGGAAGCTCCTGGGTAGAAACCCAGCACCCAGGATTTTTATGGAGGACCGCTTATGTAAGAAGGCTCTGCCTGTTAAGTACCAAAGTTCCAGATTCCCAGAAGGAAATAAACCATACTGTATGCGGCATAGAGCATATTGTTTGTGCAGACAGCTTAGGCACAATGAGCCACTTTTACCAGTTAGGGAATAATGGAAGGGAACCCTTCTAAATCCAAGTTCCCAGATACCAGCCAAGGGCCAGCCTCGCAACAGGTGCTTTAGGGATGGCAGTCAGATCTGCTGCTTCACTCTTTCCTGCACAGCAGGAGATGAGCCCCACCCCAGTCTGAAGTTTACACATCATACCCTCAGTTAAGGTTGAGCAGAGCCCTTCGAGTATGTCCCAACTCCAGATTCCCAGGAGAAAGAGTTAGCCCAGAGAGGGTAGAGTGCCCCCCAGTCCAGGCAGGATGGTCAAAGTAATGGGCCACTTGGTCCAACATGGATATCAGGAATTCTCCCCATTTATGTAGGGATAGGTTGTTGGTTTGGGGGCGCAGAAGACACTCCAAAAGCCAGTCGGCCATAGGGATTCATGTATGGAAAATCTTCTCAGAAACTGTGCAGACTTCATCTGCCGAAGGCCCTCTTATCTTAGCAGGGGCATTATAAAACCATACAGGAAAGTGGCACCTGACTCAGGCCCCAGGAGCCCCAGGTTGCTCTGAGGAAATAGGGTAGTGTGTAGGTGTTCATTTGCATAGAAGCAGTGAATGCGTGAGAGATTCTGTAATAGATGCAGATAGCTTATCCTTAGGTGTTTTGTAATAGTCTTCGTGAACTTTCGTTTTTCTTCACCATTCTGATTGCAGCCAGTTGGAGTTCATGAAAATGACCTGATTCCTCCCTGAGATTGATCCTTGTAGGTCGCAGACAAGAATGGCATGTGTTTATAATAGTCTTCTGTGTCTGCTGTAGTTTTTTGTTGTTGTTGTTTGTTTGTTTGAAAGCTTTTGTATTAGTCCGTTTTCACACTGCTGATAAAGACATACCCCCAGACTGGGCAGTTTACAAAAGAAAGAGGTTTAATGGACTTACGGTTCCATGTAGCTGGGGAGGCCTCACAGTCATGGTGGAAGGTATCTCAGGCACGTCTCACATCGCAGCAGACAAGGCAAAGAGGGCTTGTGCCGAGAAACTCGCCTTTTTACAATCATCAGATCTGATGAGACTTATTCACTATCATGAGAAAAGCGTGGGAAAAGCATGAGAAAGCATGGGAAAGACCTGCCCCCATGATTCAGTTACCTTCCATTGGGTCCCTCCCACAACATATGGGAATTCAAGATGAGATTTGGGTGGGGACACAGCCAAACCATATCAGCTTTCTTGGTCAGACTTATTGAAGGTTATGCATCTCAGCCATTACTTCTATGTGTGAATATTTCCTAATCTCAATAGTACACATATAGGAAGCGCTGGTATTTTTTGAGGCATGGATATCTTTCATTTGCTGAAGGCAGGGGCTGATGTAGGGTGTTGAGGTGACCTTAGTATATGCAGTGGTCCCCACAATTGGGAGACACAAGTCTCTTTTGCACAAACCTCAGATGCTCTGAGAAGGACTGTTATGTCAGAGTATTGTGGGTACCCTGTGAGTTCTGTGGCCCACGTAGAAAGGGTTTCCAGATCCCTTCGGTCAGTGGGAAATCACTGTAGAATTATCATCATATCTCCATCCTTGGCTGCATGCATAATAGTTTAGTATAAATTGATTTAAAGAAAACACACACATGTGCATGCACACACTGTATGTATGTATGTATGTATGTATGTATGTATGTATGCCAGGAAGTTAAAACCCAGAGCTTCCAGCGAGACCATCCTGTTTGTTTTGCTATGGTTTAAATGTGGATGCTTCCTTGGAGTCAGGTAAAATGTAATCCCTCTGCCTCCATGCTGTGCATAGCAGACCAGTTTGTCGCCGCTGTCTGTGCACTCATGTTCTTTGAGTGGTAGCCTGGCCTCAGGCATGGCCAGGGTGCCCTGTCCTGTGACAGCAGGGGGCTGATCTTCTGCACATGGGTCCATCGAGCTACCTTCTATGTGTCAGTCTCTTTTTAAAGTGCCCAATAGTATCCTCAGACAGATTTTTGCTTTTGTATTTTTGCTTTTGTTATCTTTGAGATATCAAGGGTGGAAGGCAGCATTCATTCCAGAGAGGACAAGACTTCTATGGAAAAGAGAAGTGTTTTTTTGTGAGCCTAAGAACAGCATATGAGTGTTAGAAAAACAGTTCCATCATCCCTCCAACAGATCAGCAGGAAGGCTTTTGAAAACAGTAGTGAATCTGCTTTGTGGGGGCATGGACTGTAAGGAGAAAACCTTCCTCTATCTTTTATACACTGTTGTTTTAGGGTACCCCAAGATAACATTGTTGATTCTTGGGGACCTAGGATGTTATCTCCTTGAAGGAAATGTATTTTTCATATCTTTTACAGTAACGAATAAATGTGTTAATGGATTAATCTGTTCCCACAAAATGAGCCTTCAGAAAAGAAAATGCAAAGTTCAGTGATACTAGGTTATTACAAGCTCTTCGCGTTCCCTGTGACTGACCCTTCTACCTCTCTGGGGCTGCAGGCTCCCATTCTGAGAAACACTGGTGTCTGGGGACACTGGAGGCTGAGCTGCTCAACACAGGCCATGTGTACAGACAGCACTGTGAGAAGCCACCTTGTTAGAGCAGGATCAATTATGGTGACCTCTGTCAGACTTGTGGGGTTGGGGGTGGGTGCCACAAGGAGCTCCAGGGGCCTCCCAGACAGAAGCTCAGCTGTATTCACCAGCACCCAGCATGGAGAATAATGGGTTTCCATGATAAGTAACGCCACTGATATACGTCGTCTTCCTGGATCTCAATGCTTTCTAGATATTGTTGTTATTTATATTTCCCTTATATGCTGTGGAGCTTTATGGGTCTGGTAGGGTTGGGAATAAATAGTCCTATTATTTGTTAATTACATTAAACTAATAGATGCATATGAGTTTCATGACAGTTACTAATTGCTTTTTTATTCAGTTAATGGAAATCTGTTACCCCTTAATTGATTTCAGCTGCAGTTATATTGTTAGGGTGCTGTTGTTTAAATGGTTGTATATTTCCCTTTGTGAGCCAAGTTCATTCAGATCTGCATTTGTGCAGATCCCATATTCTTATGTTTGATAAATGAGCAAGTGGGTATGTTGGTTGGTGGAAGGATGGGACCATGACACAGGGGCCCAGTCCTCAGCCACCTGCCAGGGGTTGGCATGCAGGCATGTAACATTTCTGTTGCATCTTTTGTTTTCACAGTGAGAGAAAAACGCAAGAGTCTCTTCATTAACCATGTAAGTGAAGCTGTCTCCCTGTGTTTTTCATAATGACTGTACAGTATAAAGAGCTGAAATAACTGTGTCTGTGATGGATGAAAATGGCTCATGTGCTTTGTAGATACTTGGAAGAATGTTGCAGTGTACTTATGCTTAATTTGGTTTGTAATTTGACAAGCATTACTTGGTATCTGTCCACTGTCCCAAATATTTTTCCAGAAGCCCTAGACCACTATTGTTCATGAGATGATGTGTGTGAACAATAACATATCAAACATCACCCAGCAAGTCCAAGGGAAAGGCACTTCTTTTTAATTTTGAATCCTTTCCTTTCTCTACCCTCACCCCCAAATTACTCTTTCTCTCTTGTAGCTCAGTTTCATTTGAATAAACACATAATTGTTTTCCATGAGGCTCTCTGTCTCCACACTTGACTCTTCCCATTTGTTGTTTGTGGGTCCAGTAGAGTCTGCATGTTCTTCTGATGCTCGAAGAAAGAGGATAAACTTGATAACACTAAATTAAAAAAAGATGTTCAAACATTTGGCTGTAGTCTTTTGGCCATTCTTAGCCATGTCTCCCTCCCCTGGTGGCCAGGTGCAGGTGCCCCGTTGAGATACTTTATCCCTCTTCCTTCCTTGAGCAGAGGTGTAGCTGGCTGGCTCCAGCGCCTCCTCCACACCTTATGTACCAGGCAAGTCCTAGCCACCCCTTCTTCTTAGAAATGTGCCCCTTTAGGAAGGAAAACTCTCTGAGAGGTATGGAATGATAAAACAGGTGTAAATTATCAAAATAAGTATGCTCTAAGTCCTCATTCTAAAAACAGAACCATACAAGGGTCTTTCTCAGGATTTGTAGACTGTCTGCATCAATGTATTTGCAGATCTTGGAATACTTAGTCCTAAAGCTGTGTATTAAAGAGACTTAAAGCCTTAATATTGTATTCTCTGCCTTTTGAAAATATGGACAAAATGCAGTTGGGAAGAAATTCATAAGCTGGGCTGTTACACTTAAGGGACATGATGCTATGCCCATAGGAGACTGATGACTTCTTTGTAGTCAGTGTTAATATATGTGCACATATACAGTTTCTAGGGGTCAGAGGGCTTATAATTTTTAGCAGATTCTTAAAGCAATCTGTGACCTTTTCCCTCAGCCCCTTAAATTTCAAAACATCCGTGTAAAGCACCTTTGAAATTGCAATTTGTGTCATGAGGAAAATATGAAAATTGCTGTGCCTTTTTTTTTTTTAAAGCAGTATATACCTGGATATAAAAATTCGAGCGATTGGAACAAATTCTCTAAATCCTTGCTTCCATTTCTTTGCCTGCTGGGTGCACTTGAATGCTTTCCTACTCATTACACTCATTAGCACGCCTGCCAAGGAGCTTGCAAGGGAAAGGGAAGAGCTGGAACTGCATCCAGGCCATCTTTCCTATTCACTGCAGCTCCATGGAAGGTGCATTGAAGAAAGAGGAGGATAGGAGTTTGTGCCGCTCTGTTCTCATTGCAGCTGATGATACAGAGATGTGCTCCCACAGTTCTAACCTGCATACCTCTTTTAACACCCCTGCCCTCCACCCAGGCACACACCTAACCTTGCCATTTTGTGTCCTTTACAGTCCTAGCATCTGCCACACACTTGAGTACACACCTTCTGCACCCAGCACGTGGATTAGAATGGGAGGTCATGCATTCTCATGCACGATAGCTTCTAAAACCCAGCCCAGCATTCAAACCTCTGTAAAATCACATCTGCTGACACAGAGTGAAATTGCACAGTTGTTGAGATCTATGCAAATGCACCTATTCCTATAGAAAAGAAATCTGGGTGCTAAGTTTCTTATATAATAGATGACCCTGTAACAAGGAGCACGACCCTCCAAACTGTGAACAGACCTCACTGCAAATGAGCGCCATCAGTCCTGCCACACTGGAAAAAGCCATGGGAGTGTGCCAGTCCAACCAGCTGAAATATCATTTGAGTGAAATTACTTGCAGATTCAATTAGGCTAATAAAGCAGCTGTACTTTGCAGGTTTTGAAACTTGGGAATAGTAAGTTAGAACGGTGGAGAAAAGATGAGCAATAATAATAATCAGTACCATCTGCTGAGTGCTTTAAAGCGTGTGTGCCAGGCTCTGCTGTAATTGGTTTAACGGACTCATTTAGTTAGCACAATGGCCGTGCTAGGTAGGTACAATTCAGTATTACTATTTTACAGATGAGGAGACCGAGGCACAAAGAAGTTAGCCAAGTAGACAGTGGAGCCTGGGTTGAGTTCCAGGTGGTCTGCTTCAGCACCCCATTTAGCTCGCACCCTCTGTGCTCCTCAGATAATGACACCGGTTCCTGTGTGACAGAGGTTGTTTAGCTTGCTTATCTGAAGTTAGAGATAACATTTATAATTAAATTTGTGTGGCACAGTCTCTAGGGTTCATTTCTGAATATGGATCTCAACTAAAATTTATCATTTAGTCTGTTACTGAACTCTGGAGTGACAGTTATTTTTCACCCTTATTATACCATTTCATTTTTTTATTTGCCATATTGTGAGGGAGGTTGTTTCTTTAATTTCTCTTTCAAGTTTTGAAGAACCCACTTAGTGCATGTTGCTAAAATAACCTACAAAGAGGTTACTATTTAAGAGAAACGAATATAGTTGTGTAGGTAAGCCATTTAAGACAAGGTGGGTGTTCACCTCTACTCCCAGGACCATGATAACTGCAGGGGAAATAACCTCCTTCAGGTGGAGAAAAGTAGGGCTTTTCTGGTTTCTAGCAAACAACACACATGAGCAAGTGAAAAGAGTGGGCTTTGACCCAGGACATTCTCCGGGGAATGGGGCAGTAGAGAATGGAACCCCAGGCTAGAAAATGAGAAGGGCCTTTAAGTGACTCAAAACAGCCAAGAGAGACTCAGAGGATTAAGTGAAAGGAGACCACTTCTCAAGCAATTATTACAGGTTTTAAAGCTTGAAACCTGAAAATAAACCACTTTGGATGTTTGGCAGCAAGTTCAACCAGGGTGAATTATAAAGGTTAATATTCTAATCAACACGTATGTTTTAGATGTAATTAAAGTGAACAGTTATAGGAAGTTTTTGTGTGTGTTTGTTTGTTTGTTTGTTTGTTTGTTTTGAGACGGAGTCTCACTCTGTCCCCCAGGCTGGAGTGCATTGGCATAAACTTGGCTCACTACAGCCTCCCCCTTCTGGGTTCAAACTATTCACCTGCTTCAGCCTCCCAAGTAGTTGGGATTACAAGCATGCACCACCATACCCGGCTAATTTTTGTATTTTTAGTAGAGACAGGATTTCGCCATGTTGGCCAGGCTGGTCTCAAACTCCTGACCTCAGGTGTTCCACCCACCTTATTAGCTTCCCAAAGTTCTGGGATTACAAGCATGAACCACTGTGCCCAGCTAGGAAAATTTAATGCATATGAAAGATACATGTATTTTTAAAAGGCTGTGTAAAGGGCTTTATTTAAAGTGTATACTTTGTTTAAAATTTGCTGACGTTTTGACTTTGCTTTTTTTTTTTTTTTTTAAAGGTTAGCTGTTTTTATGAATCTTTAAAGTGTAAAAATATTTGATTATAGATTGTGGGTGACATTGTAGGTGGTTGGAGTTAATAATCACTCCTGAAAAAAAAAATCACTCCTGAAACTCAGAGAGAATGCATGCTTTTTACCTTAGCCTAACTTTTCTATGATTATCTTCCTGCTACCTGGTGATAGCATACCAAAAATGAATGGATTATTCTAAGAAGTTAAAAAAAAAAAGTATGAAAACAGAACGGATCAGGAGTTGAATAGCCAGCTTCCTTTGTCTTGTTTGCCATAGGTGCACTTTGAAACGAGAAAACCAGACTGCGGATTGTGTGTAGTGTCATCCTCAAAAAAACCAAAGCATTTGTCTCAACACTGAGTCTGGTGATAGTTCAGGAAACTTTGTGAGTAAGTAAAGCAACTAGGGAGTGTTACTTATCAGCTAAGCAAGAGTCACATTATTAGCAGGACTTGGAGCCAAAAGAACTTTGTTCAAGCCCTCATTGGGCAGTCTTGGAAACATCTTGAAATGTCAGTTCTCTTATCTCCTAGGATGGGTCATAATTTCAGACCTACTTGACTCAAAGAAGGTAATGATTTGCAGCCTAATTATAACACCATATACGTATGTTGTATTATTATTGCCCATTGGAGTTTAGGTAAATTTGATTTAATTTTCAAAGTTCAATATCAAAACTGATGAAAGTCTTGCTGGTATTTTGAGTATGGATATAGTTTTTTCATAATCATTAAGACCAAGATTTTCTGGGAGGAGTATATTCTGTTCAGCTCCCTTTGGGGAATACTGACTTGAATAGTTTGCTCCTCTTAATGTAGTTCAGTTCCAAATCAGTTTCTGCCTTTTAGTTTTGAGTGAGGTAGGAATAGGATTCCTTGTAAAATGGTGTCTATTCTGGTTATAAGCTTCATTTGTAAGTCATAAAAGTCAAGTAATACAGTGAGCTACATCTAGGAACTGAAATTTAAAACATTTTAATCTTGCTTTTGCCTCTGGAAGATTTGCTCTTAATAGAATGAGAGTTTATTGAGCAGCTGCTGTGTTAGCATCAGTGCCATATGCTTGGAGGATGTGAAAGAAGATTCAGTTTTAAAATATCAGTACAAATTTAAAAAATCCAGTAAGATTAAAGAAATCCAGCTTTTACTTTGAAATAATTTCAAATTTATAGAAAAGTAGCAGCAATAATTGAGAGTACAGGATTTTCATGTCACTAAAGGAACCTTAGATGCCCTGGTTCTCAGACCTCCTGTTCTGCTTCACCCAGGGATGTTGAAATGGGGTAGATATTTTGTTATTTTCTCTTTTTTGTTTTTTCTTCTTTTTGCGGAATGTTTAGAAATGATAATGTTACACGTGGAAATACTGGTACGTTAAGAAGCTTGTGTAGGACATCAATTCCTTGAGTGTATTGGTTATGTCTGTGGAGGACTGTCTCTTTTCTTACCT